TATAAATCTATCTTTGGCTTTTCATCTTCAAATTGATGGGCAAATAGAATGGATGAACTAAGTTTTAGAGTATTATTTAAGGTCTACCATCAACTATCATCATGATGATTGAACAATTCTTTTATCATTGGCAAAATTTACGTACAATAATTTGATACATTCTTCCATTCAAAAAATACTTTTCTTTATCAATTATGATTATCATCTACAACTTGATACTTTTGACTTTTCAAAAGTTGATAATCTTATAGCAAAAGATTTGACAATTTATTTGTCAAAGCTACATGGAACAATGAAGGCGCAATTAAAGAGAGCCCAAGAACAAAAAAAGATCAATGTAGATGTATATAGTAAAGATCAATCACAATTCAATGTAGGTGATAAGGTATGATTACTTCATTACAATATCAAGACTATTTGTTCTTATGACAAATTAGACTATTATATGCTTGAATTTTTTTTATTAGTGAATAACTCAATTATGTTGTTTATTGATTATATCTACTGAAGTCTATAAAGATCCATTACATATTTCATGTATTTTTTCTTGAGCCATAGAAGATAGTAAATATCTCAAAAATGAAACAAATACCACCTCCTCTTATAGAAATAAATAATAATTAAGAATTCAAAGTTGAAGAAGTCTTAGATTCAAGGCAGCACTAAAATAGGTTAGAATATCTTGTTCATTGGTGCGGATATAATAAAATAGTTAATGCACATGGAAGCCAACAAAAATTCTTGTAAATGCAACAAAGAAAATTAAGGCTTTTCATTGATGATATCTATCAAAATCAAAATAAAAAATATTAAATCTTTGTTATAAAATAAACAAGTTTCAAGGAAGATAGCATTCTACCTTTTATTCTTATTTGTAGCTTCTGTATATTTGTAATGCTAAGGAGATAGAGAACCAATAATCAATAGATTCAACTCAAGAGCTTTTATTTGTTAACTTATTTGACGAGACATTGCAATTATCATAATCTTCAAGATAATATAATCAAGATGAAGATCCTCAAGAATGACATATCTTTTCTTGAATAATTAGTAAGACACAATGTGTTTGATATCACAACCTTAGAAGAGGCTTCCAATATATGATAATTTTATTAGAAATAGGAACAACTCTTGACGATGTTTCAAATATTTTATTTGAAAGAAGTTACAAAAGCCTCAACAATGATCAAATAATAAGATAGTCTTTTTACCTTGATGTGGAATACTATTGATGGCTAAGAAGCTCTATCAACTATCTTTGAAGAGAATAAAGATCACAGTATGTGGCAAATATAATTTGTCGCACTTTAATACATGAAGACCACTCCTCATAGAACTTATCCCTAGAAAGGAGGATAATGTCACAATAATATATATATATATATATATATATATATATATATATATTCTAGTAAATATCAATATGAATAGATAAAAATAGATAAATGTAGATAAAAATAAATTAATTTTATCATACCTTCTAGAAAAGCTTCCATAAACCTTCATAGATGGTGCTTTGATTTTATATATATTTTTTGTTGATTAATAGGTTAGAAACTTAGTCAACAAGTTAATCACATGGTGGTAGCTTGTAGGACAAGTTAACTATATGGTGTACATATAAAAAACTTGCCTTGCAAGTTAGGATATGTGTCTTGCAAAGTCAACATGTTTTGGAGGTCCTATACGATCGCCACATAGTTCCTAGTTAAGAGTATATATGGAGGCAAGAATGAAGCCTTCCACACTCTTGTCAATTCCTTTTTAGTCATTATTTTTGTTTCAAGACTTTCTAGTTTTCTTGTTTTTGGCAATAGCCATTTTAGTTCAATATTGTATCATCTTTGAGTGACTTTCTAACACTTTTTAGTAATACAAGAATGTATTGAGGATTTCTTTCTTCAAGATTCATATCCTTGATATAAAGGCTCTATTGTGGTTCAAATTAAAATATAAGGGTATACAAGAAAAATTCAAATTATAGATATGCTCATATTTCTAAGATAAGAAATAACTTTTATTAATAGATAAATTATTTTTTTTAGGACTAAGCATTCAATTTAGCATTCAAAGATGTTTTGTAGAGACTTTAAGTAGCAAATTTATTACACAAGTACTTAAGAAAAGAACTTCTTTCACTTGAAGTACATCAATATACAAAGCACCAACAAATTAAGTTCAATTGCAAATATCAATGATATTACAGGGTTTGTTCTTTGGCATCATTGCTTTAGCTATTTAAATGTGAAAAATATAAAATACTTCAAAACATAATAAGTGGCTATCAAAAATATGAATTTTGAAGAAAGAAATCTTAAATACATTCTTGTGTCACTTAAAAGAACTAGAAAATCAGTCAAAGATGATATAATATTAGACTGGAATGGCTATTGCTAAAGACAAAAAAACTAGAAAGTCTTGGAATAAAACTTAAGACTAAAAAGACATTAAGAAGAGTAATGAAGGCTTCATTCTTGTCTCCATATATACTCTCTAATTAGGAACTACGTGGCAATATTCTATAAGACCTCCAAGTATGTATTGACTTTGCAAGACACATATCTTAACTTACAAGTAGGTTTTTTTATACATGTGCCATATTATTAGCTTATTCTATAAGCTACTAACATGTATAATATACAGCTAATTTATCAACCAAGTTTCTAACCTACTTATCAACTACAAACATATATAAAATAAAAATCACATCTGTGAAGCTTTTAGGAAGCTTCTTTAGAAGATATTATGAAATTAATCTATTTTTACGTACTTCACATTAATTATATAGATAATTATTGGAATAAATATGTTCATCTATGATCTTAGTATAAAAATCAACTAATTTAAGTTAAATGATGTTATTTTTACATATAAAGGATATATTGAGGATAAACAACATAAATTGTTATTACCTATTTAAAGTCCAATTCAAGTATATATGATAGCATGTGATGCAATTAAAAGAACTTTTACTATTTATTGTTATAAATACAAAAGAAAAATAAATAAAAAATAAAAAAAATCAAATCAAATTGAATGCATTTCAATAATATAAATACATAGATTTAGTTGTTTTGATACTTTACAAGACTTATTTATATATTTTTACTATTTATTATGTCTCTATTATCAATATGAAATATTATATTATTTTATTAATCTATAAATTAGCCTTATATTGTTGTAGCCACTTTTAGCAATAAACAACACCTCTGTTATATAATTTCTTCAATATTTTTAATATTATCACTTTATAAATTTGCCAAAATTGATAATACTTGCATCTTTTTAATCTTAGTTTGTTGCTTTGCTCTTGGTGAACTTTTACAAAATTCATTTGTATATTTACTTGCATCCTTATTATTTGATTTATGGTCTTCATCACCAATCTCATATTCCTCTCATTTCTCTTTTTTATCAAAGTGGCTGAATTTTGGAAATTCATCCATAATAATATATTTACTATCACTTCTACTTTTATGTATTTCCATATATTTATGGATCATTTCATCTTTACAAAAGATGACATTACAACTACAAATGATCTTCTTAGTGTATATGTACATCAATTTATATGCTTTAGAATCTTCATAATATTTCAAAAATAAATATTTAATACTTTTAGCTTTCCACTTTGTGTAATTAGAATCATATATTTTTACATATGCAATGTATTCAAATACCTTTATATGCGCATTGTATATTTGATGGTATATATCTTTCATGTATATCTTTTATGAATAGTAAGTATACTTAAGAAAATCATGTGAAGTATCAAAACAACTTAATCCACGTATTTCTATTATTGAAATGCATTCATTTGATTTTCACTTCTCTTTATTTTTCTTTTATGTTTGCAACAACAACTAAGAAAAACTCTTTTGATTGCATCACATATAGTGAATGCTTTGCCTAACTCTTTATGAAGCACTCCTTAACAAAGAAGTTGTCAATTCATTGATACAATGCTTTGGTTGATTGTTTGAGGCCATACAACAATTTCTTTAATTTGCATTTAAGATTCTCCTTACTTTTTTGTATAAATTCATTGAGTTGGTCCATGTAAATATCTTCTTCCAATTCTTTAGTTAAAATCATTATCTTCACATGTATTTGATGCATCTCCAAATCTATTGTTGCTCCAATTTAAACAATGTTCCTAATGGTGGTGAATTTAGCAACATGTGCAAATATTTTATTAAAATCAACATCTACTATTTGTGAATAATTTTTTGGCAACTAATCTTGCTTTCTTTACTTTCACACTACACATGGCTTCATACAATGTCAATGGATCATCAATTTAAGCAACATTTGTACATTATTCTTATACCTTAGAAAAAATGTGATTCTTCCACCGTTCTCCAATCTGTTGCTCTTAGGATATTGACGCTCATTTGAAAGTTTGGTGTAGAAGTTTGCCTTGTAATGCCATGATTCTTCAAATAATCACCAAATTGTTTTGATATAAATTCACCTTCATTGTTAATCTTCAACGCCTTGTAATAAAGCAATTCCAAGAAATCAGGCGTTCCTACAGTGGCTGTGGAACGGTCGGTAAATCGGACGAAACTTAAGTTAGATGCAGCGGCTGCCGGAACGATCGGTAACTCGGACAAAACTTAAGTTAGATGCAGCGGCTGCGGAAACAGTCGGTAAATCGGACAAAACTTAAGTTAGATGCTTCCGCTGGTCCACGTTCGTCGTTGCTCAGGCTTCCCTCCACTGGTATGTACGAGATTTATCGGCCTTGTCCTGTGTTGTTTACTGGCTGCCCCTGTTTTCAACGCTACTGCACCAGAAGTCTGCGGTTGCTGATGAGTTAGAGTGACGCTGACCTGCTGAATCTGTTCGACTGGAGTTGAGAGGATTTTGGTAGCGTTTTGGGAGGATTCTTCATCATTCTGGTAGCGTTTTTGGAGGCGTGACGCCGGGATTGCCGATTATTCGTGTTTACTCTGTTGTTGGTGAGTATATTTGCTTGTGTGCATATGGCCTTTCTCAACTTCAACTTCGTCAACCAGGTTCATTGGAATCGTATGAATCCACCTTTCAACAGTACTGATTGGGAGTATGTTTTGTTAGCAGTCAGTGATGGTGTGCTACGTTTTAGTACTCTTTGTTGAATTCAAAGCTTTCTCATTCTTTGACTAGAACCGATTGGATCGGTACATCGAAGCGGTCTCATGTTCCGTATCCACAGAATGACGTTGTCGGTGGTAGTTCCACAAGAACAGCTGTGAGGTGGCTTCAGATCATTCTGCAGAGTCGATTGAAGTAATTGTACGAATACGCCGTATCAATTGAAGTATCGACATAATTGACATTTATTCTTCAAGCGTTAATCATGTTATGCCTACGTCGTGTGGAAGCTTAATAAACAAGTGTCTGGTCCCCTTTCAGCCATGTCGGCTGTACGCTGTGACGCCGCAGCTCATCCTGCTTTCATTTCTGTTGTTCCACACGATTCTTGCTGTGGATGAGTTTTAGTGGCACCTTGTTCCCACCCCCTTCGGGACTCTTCTTCTTTGCCGCTTCTTAAGTCCTACTTCTTAGCACTCGACCTGGTAAATATTCCATATCTTTTTCTTTGTTTCTTTGTTCTTGAGTCCCTTCGCGCTCATTACCTGACATTCTATCAAATGACTTTGAAGAATCTTCTGAGATTTGTAGCCTTGAAATTTTGCAAGCTGCTCGCAGTGCGAGGTGACCTCTAGGTTATGTTTTGATTCCTTCATTATGTTCTCTTTTGCCCCTATCCATTTCAGTCCTGATAAGGTTTGAAGACATATTTTGTCATGTTTTGCCGGCTCTATAGATTATGAGAACCTTAATCCATTCCGCATTCTCTTATCAAGCATGTCCTATGGTCCGATATGCTCAAGTTCCCACAACCGACGTACGAGCTTAATCACTGGGTGGGGGACTGCAGCTTCCTTTATAACCTGTTGAATGATCTTGAATTGCGAGAAGATAATGTAAGCGCTTCTAGAGATGCTCCTGTTAATGATTAACTCAGTCGCAACTTAGTTTTAGACTTGTCACCTGATTTTGCAACGCATTGTGTAAGTGTCTGATTCTGAGCATATCTAATCAAATCACAACAACAGGAAGCAACCGAAGAAAAGAAAATACAGTGCCACCTTCAAGGAAATTAGGCCATGGCTATTGGCTGTTTGACAGCGTGTAGCATGTACTATCTAACTTGTAGTGAATCTTTGATGTTGATGATTTCATAGCAAACTACCTAGATTTCATTCTGATGTAAACGAATGCAATGGTGATATCCTGCAGAACATGGAACAGGGGAGTACTATGGTGTCTATGGAGGACAGCAATGGATACAGGTTAGCGGTAGCTGTGATTTTCTGCATCATTGCTCGTCCAAAGAAATATCATGCAACTTGGCACATCTTGTCAGCATAGAGGAAATTGTGTTTGTGGTCTGTTTGAAGGTAGGGTCAACCTCCATAATAGTACAATACCAACAATCCACCTACCATGGAATGGTTTGTCTCGCTGAAATGTTTCAATTTGGTTTTATTTCCTTCAGTATTTACTGGTTTAGAATCTCCTTTGTGTGCGTAGGAATTACGCTTTACAACCGAAGCACAAGGTGTTTTTGAGCCATAGTGGTGCACAGAAAGGCTTTGTGGAACAATTATGCGTGGACCTGGAGAGATGCGATCGTCATCCCTTTTTTGACAAACGCTGGGACAGCTTGCCGATTGGAGAGAATTTTCCCGACCTCATCTTCCAAGCAATTGAGCAATGTCAAGTTGGAGTGGTGGTTCTTTCAGAGGAATTCTTCACTCTTTCAAAGTGGCCCATGTTGGAGCTGGTGGCAATGGCGAATGCCAAAATGAGAAATCCGGACTTCATAATAATGCCAGTGTTCCTTGGCATTTCACGTTCGCAATGTCGTGATAGAGAGAACCATATGAAATGGTCATCAACGTGGCGTAGTTGGGCACAGTCTGACAATAGAATTAACATAGAACACTGGGAGAATGCTTTACAATTGTTTGGCCCAACAAATGCTTTGGTGTACAACTCTGAACTGGGCGAAGTAAAATTTCGAGAGGAGATAGTTAAAGCGATTTGTAAGTGGGTTCCTCCAGAAACAAGACGAGAGGATTCCCATGTTCAAGGAAGGTCACGCTTGTGTAAGGTGAGTATAAAATCGAACCTGTAGGTATTTTCTTCCATGTAGCTACTGCCACTCGTAAACCAGGAGTGTAGTGAATCTCGTGCTTTAGGAGTTTTGCCAAGAAATCATTGACGTAAGATCTGGTTGGATGCAAACAGTCGTGTTTTGGTGTTGGAGAATTCGTGTAACTTGTAGATTTTGACCCCTTTCCACCTTTTCCGGTTGACTAATAGGTGATATGCGAAAAAATCAAGTCGTGAAAAGTGTCTTCATCATATGGAGTTCGTGTAGTGGGCTTGTATGGAGTGGGTGGTATCGGCAAAACCACGATTTGCAAGGCTCTGTGCAATGAGTTTTTCAAGAAGTACCGGGGCAGAGTTTCTCATGCAGAGTTGGAAAGGGGAAGCGAAGAAGAATTGTTGAAAGAAGTATTGAGGAGGCTCACAGACACAAAGCCTGAGCTCTTGGATGCAATGAATGTAGACGAGGTATGATAAAAATTCCATTACTACAAGCATAGATACATGCAGGTGTTCAATGTATGACCAACAGCAATTGATGTTGTTGAGTTGAAGTAGCTGGCAGTATGTTACTATCAGCTTTCAATCATGCGTAATTGAGCAACGCTTGACGTCCGTTATTGATTTGCAGTATCGCCACCGCCTAAACAGAGATATGAGAAATCTAGGAGTATTCTTAACAATAGACAACGTGTCAGGCACCACAATGGAGCAAGCTTTGACCCTTCTTAAAGCAGGGTATGGACCTGGAAGTGTTTTGCTAGTGACAGCACGTTCTCTGGACCAACTAAAGTCTCTGAGGATAGATACGAATGAATGTTTGGAAATGCCGGAGTTGGAGATTGACGAAGCGAAGTCCTTATTTCTTTATCATGCTGCATGTGTCCCTGCCACAAGAAATGAAGCAGACGAGGAGTTGATCTTGTTCTGTGTTCGGCGGTGTTGTTTTCGGAAAGGTTGTGGCATTAGTTATCATTACCATCCACTGGCACTGCAGGTGTTGGGTGAGCAGCTGGGTCGTGTTGGCTATGTTCCAGAACGATGGTGGGCACTGTTGAATGAGATCGACTTGTTTAACCCTTTTCGAGAACCCAAGCATCCCGTCTTCTCCATCTTGAGGAAAAGTTTTGACGCTTTAACTGCTCAGGATCAGCTTTTATTCATGGATGCGGCCCTGTTCGTACCTTACAGCGTTGGAGGTTACGATTTTGATTGGGGATACAAGTGGAGCGTTTTCGAATGGCTTGGTATGGTGCATGGAATATCTGTGGACACTGTGAAGAAACGGGTGAGTACTGTTTTCCTGGGTGTGAATGCTACCGATGAATGGATAGTTGGTGAACGCAGGGTTGTGAGAGCACTAGACGGCTTGTTTCCTTGAAAGAGGATTAAAGGAGGAGTTTCTATGTATATGATCTCCAAACCCTTGACTTTTAAGTACTTGGTTTTTGTTGTTTAGCTTTTAGTCTAAGCGTGGAGCTTGTGATGGCTTGGTTTGATGTCTTGTTTTTGTGTTGGTTTGCAGTTGGAAAACCTGAAGAGTAAATCACTCTTGGAGAACCTGGGTGACGGATTCAGCAGAATTGGCATGCACGACCTGTGGCACGAGTTTGCAAAATTAGAGACAAAAGTTGAGGAATTTGGAAATCGGCGTTGGATTTTTGAGTGGGACGAACACAATGCACTTGAAGAAGCCAGTCTGACTTGTGGTGGTTCTTCAGTAAACCTCAGGCGGATGTTTTTCTTGGACAGGGGATTCATGAAATTGGAGAAAGTGAATTTTAGTTCATTTCCCAATGTTACAGTGTTGAAGCTCAGCCGGGACGAAGCCATGCTGCAGGGTCTGGATTTGAGCGGACTGAAACATCTCAAGAGTTTGGAATTAGAAAGAAGGGAGGTCCCTGTAATATTCGTTTGGCAAAGAAAATCGAAGACTTCGGTCGGACTCGTTGGACTTGGTTCCTTGACAAACCTTGGTTTTCTGAGATGGAGTAACATACCATCGGATTCACCATGTATTGAGGACATCGGCCGTTTAACAAACCTCCAGGTTCTGGATTTATATGGGGGTGGCAAGCTGCCCGATCTAAGCAGCCTATCTTTATTACGAGTGGCTTGCTTTCGAGAGAATGATGCGGCGGAAACCATATCAGGCTTAAGCTCAAAGCTGACCAATTTACGATACCTGGATTTCCAAGGATGCAAGGGGTTGCGTAGCTGCCCTGGTTTGGGTGAATTAGTTGCGTTGCAAGAACTTCATTTATGTTATTGTCAGAAGCTTGAAGAGATGCCCAACTTACAAAAGCTCAAAAGGCTGCGGAAATTGGGCATGAACGGTTGCAGGTTAATCAGAGCATTGCCGGGTTTAGGTGACTTGGTCGCTTTGCAGGAGCTTGATGCTTCTGGTTGCAAGAATCTTGCTGAGTTGCCAGATATGCGCAATCTCAGAAACCTGAGGAAATTGAACTTACAATATTGCGAGCTCATCAAAGCATTGCCAGGTTTAGATGAGTTGGTCAATTTTCAATCTCTAAAAACGTGGGGTTGCGAGAATCTTACGGAGTTACCAGATATGCGCAAGCTCACAGACCTGCAAACACTGCAATTATGGCGCGTACGCCCTCTGAAGTCAGCTGCAGGCTTGGGTGACTTAATATCTCTGCGTCATCTCACCGTCGGATTTGATCAGCTGCAAGACTGTCCTGACCTACGCAAGCTAACAAAGTTAGAAACACTCGATATTTCTGGGTGGCAAACCGAAGGTTTTAGAAGTATAGAAAACTTTGTGTTGTTGGAAACAGTCAACGTATATGATTGCAAGGAAATGAGTACGCTGCCTGATCTCCAGAAATTAACAAGATTGCAGAAACTGGAATTTTGGAGCTGCGAGTTCGAGGATATGTCAGGTTTGAGCAACTTGACCAATTTGCAGGAGTTGGCAATTCATGATTGCGGCAAGTTGGAGAAGTTACCTGATCTGCGCAAGCTCACAAGATTGAAAACGCTTAGGGTCCTTCGCTGTGCAGTGCTGAAAGATTTACGTGGTGTGCTCGAGTTGAGAAACTTGGAAGTACTTTGGGCTAGTGGGTACGGATGGCTTCATGAGAACATTGGGCCTGATCTTCACCGGCTTACGAGTTTACGAGTCCTGGATGTCTCTTCCGGCGGATTTTCAGATCTGCACGGGCTTACAGCTTGTTCGCGGCTTGAGAGTTTGTGTTGCAGGAGTTGTCCGATAGAGGAGCTCCCGGACTTGAACAAGTTTCCACGATTGATCAGCCTGGACGTTCGTGATTGTGGTAGCTTAACGAGGCTGACCTACACCGGGCCCTTGAGTCCTGGATTGTCATTCCTCGACGTTCAAGGTTGCAGGAATTTGACAGCACTGCCAGATCTTAGGAACTCAAGGTTTATGAGAGAGCTCCATGTGGCAAATTGCGGAGTAGTGTTGAGTCCACATGACATCCAGCAATTGAAAGCAAGGTGGCCTACGGTTCATTTGGTGACAGAACTCTCTGTTCAAACTGAGTCAGGTACAGTTGAAGTCAGTGGCAATGCACCCAAGTGAGGCTGGTGAGGCTGATCAGTTGCTTCTTTTCATGCTGGTGTGTTGCAGCAGTTCTTAGTGACCCTGGTCTAGCTGCTATAGCAGATTACAGACCATCAGGATATGACGCTAACATGAAACCATTCTTAGTCATCGGTGCACCATATATCGACCTATAAAATTACCTTCCTGACCATAGGAGTTGGAGCGACAAGACCTCGCTCCCCACCCACTCCCGTTAAAATTCACATCACCCGACAAACTCCTCTCAACGACCCCTGCATGTTTTCTCTTTGCGCTCTCTATGCTTACAAGCCAGAAGCTAGGTTGAAGAGCCTTACATCCTGTGTAAAAGTGCCGGCTTGAGAGAGAAATTTGTCGGGGTCTTGATGGATATGTAGTTTACTGGTGTAGAGTTGTTTGATGTGTCCTGTAAGCCGCAACGACATGAATGCATTGCACTCATGGTACACTGTTACATTTTTTTTCTCAAAGGAGTTACACCAATGTAACTCTCCCTTTAAAAATGCATGCCAGATTTTTCTGATCGTTTGAGAATGCACGTTTGGTTGCTATGGCTCCACTCCAACTCCATTAATGGGCTAAGTCTAAGCTGATTCTGACAAATCTGTTGTTATACATACAATTAAAAGTTGAATACTTTGAATTGCAATATTCTTGTAGTGTGGTGTTCAAACCAAGATTTTCTTGAATCTATTTTATGTGATTTTTTAGTGCTCTTCTAGTGAAACTATTTTCAAATTCCAAATCTATGCCTATAAGCCACAAGAGCACAAATGCAGTATGTATACTAATATATGTAATATATGTCATACTTTTATTGTTTGAACTTTTGTACACATTTTCATGTGCTTGGAAATTTCAAGGAATGTAGATGAACCTATTTTTTATTTGGAGATTTTTATTTATTTTTTATGAGGATATTAATATTTGTACTTAGAAATGAGATTTGCCATTTTTCTTCTTAAAATCTTCACATTACAAATAATAGTATCCATTTGTTACACAATTTACACCAACTCCAAATAAAAACTCCATTCATTGCAACTACAAATGCAATATACATGAAGATGTGTTGCTACACCATTTGCACTTAGAATTACACTAGTTTAACTATTCTTCAATAAATTGATGTAGTATAGTAATAGATGCTATTATAATGAATCAATTCTTTAGCAGTTATATTCCTTGTAAATTTAGCTCCAAAGGATTTAGGATTTGGAATTTGAAATTAGGGGTTTAAGATTTAGAATGTAGGATTATATGAGTATCTTAGAGAAAGTTGATATTTTGTTTTTGAATTTTGAAGGAACATATCTTTATATTTTTTAGGTCTATAATTCTATTGGTATAGTTATATTTTTTTTATAAATTCTTTCTATGAAAGGTTCAGGATTTAGGGTTTAAAATTTGAGATTTAGGATTTAGGATTTAGAATTTAGGATTTAGGATTTAAGATTTAAGATTTAGGATTTAAGATTTAAGGTTTAAGATTTAAGATTTAGGATTTAGAGTTTAGGATTACAAGAGTACTTAGATGGAGTTGATTTTTTGATGTCCAATTTTAAAGACACCTATCCTTCCATTTTTAGAGGCTACAATTCCAAGGGTATAATTTTTTTTTTCTATAAATTTTCTATTTAAGAGACATAAAAGGTTTGATTTTTAGCTCTTAAGTTGACTTTTTTGTTTTGATTTCTTATTTGATGTTATTTGAAGGAAACTTTTAACTTATTGGAACTGTCAACTTAGGCATCTATTCAATCACCTTAATGTTGATTTTAGCCATCAATATCATGTAAATAATGATAGTAATATCAATGGTAAATGAAGTATGAAAAAGCCATGACATTGAAGGAAACCACCAATTCTACTTACGAACAATGGAAGGTAATTGGAAGACTAACAATATATCCTACTTAGATATAAACAAAAATGATGAAAATGTAGTTTATGAACTTTATCATAAAGAATAATTACATGAACCAAATATTATATTGTATACTTCAAATATGAATATAAATGATAATACAAAAAATAATTTAGATTACATACAATCTATTCCACCTCTTTTACTTCTAAATATAGTAATATCAATAATTAAAAGCTAAAAAAACTAAAATTTTAATATTTTAATTGGTTGTTTATATTGATTAATAAGACAACAAGACACCCTTTTGATTAATACAATTCTAATTAATATACATAGAACCTGAAACAAGACCAGATTCTCTAAGGTCTAAAATCTTACCAAATCCATAATAACAAAGATCTTGACACAATATAAGACCAAGTATATCAGAACAAAACTGAAAGTAAGTAAACAGAATGGAATCTGAAAGATAGGATTAAGTATAAGAGAATAGAATCAAATAAAACTAAATAAAATGGAACAAAAAATCAAAATTTATTTAAAAAAAGAATTTGAAGCTATATTTAATCAAATATCCAAATGACCTTAGCCAATCTTATTTATACTTTGTTCAATTATCCTTAGAACTTTCTAGAATATTTCTAATAGTAGGCCCTACCAAGATAATTGTCCTTCTATAAAATTCTAGACGTGGATCTTACCATGATAACTGCCCTAAGTTTTTTTAGAAGGTTCCATGGTAGGTCTGACATGAATAATTCTTGTAACTTCAATTCTAGAAACTTCTCAAAGACTACTCCAATTACATATCTCTATGTACAAATAATACAAATATCCTATCCATATCCTATTACAAAACCATTGTAAATCCACAAAACATGTCACCTAAAGCTAGAAGGAGGTCCGCCACAAAAACAACAAATTTATTACAACTAATAAAGTCTCTTATAAAAGATATAGGCCTATTAAGGGAGGCACCATGTCAAATTATATATGGAAAAAGACATTGCTATGAAGTCTAAAAATGCAATAATGTATCAAGAAACATTGAAGCAAAAAATATATAACTTTTTACAAGAATATTTTCTTCCATTGTATCAATAGCTATATCTAATTATTTACTATTAGTTTTGAAAAGGCAATGAGATCTACATGACTTTGATAGTGCATTTAAAATATAAAGACTTAGATCAACTAAAAGACTCATGAACATGTTTGTAAATAACATGCTTGCAATGGAAATAAAAAATATTGAATCCAAAATAGAAGGCAAGGTATCTTCAAATCATATTGTAGAAAATAATTTTGAAAGATTTTTAATTGATTGAGACCAAGTAGATAATAAGATCACCACAAACTTGATGCATCTAATTTCAACAATGATTATGATATAGGTGAGGCACCAAATAATTGCAACTACTACTTACCATCTAAAAAAACAATTATTTCAATGGCTAATAGACCAAATAAAAATACATAGTATAATTAAAATAATTGCCATTTATGATATTAAAAGCCAAAATATGAAAATATGTTTAATTTATGAAATTATTTTTTTACATAATCAAGATAATTTAAGTTGTGCATGATTTTTTGGATTTGCTATTTACAATATATATATATATATATATATATATATATATATAACTTTCTATTTGATATTATTTTCTAATTTTTTATTTATAATATTGTGAGTTATACAAATTTGCATGAATATGATTATTTATATATTGTTATTGTAAATTATTAAATATGGATAGATGCACTAATGGAAGCATGAATGGAAGTACTTGCAAGATGAGCTGACAAGTATATTGACAAATGCACATACACATTCTAGTGCATAGAAGGAATTATAGTGACTTACAAAAGAATCTAGCTAGTTAGCATGAAATCACTTGGCATTCAACTTGAAAGAAGTTATGATGAATGTTCAATTTAAATTTTTGCATATTAAATCATCATAGGATTGTCACAAACATATATATTTACCTCAATAGTTACTTATATGATTAAATAGAAATAAGTAAATATAGAATAATTTCATAAAGTCTTCTAGAGAAGCTTCTTAGAAGCTTCATAGATGCGGTTTTGACCTTAAATGTGTTTGTAGGTTAGAAACTTGGCCAAAAGGCTAACCATGTATTGGTAGCTTATGGAACAAGTTATCTCCGTGTAATAGCTTGTAGAACAAGCCAACTACATGGTGCATACATAGATAACTTACCTTGCAAGATAAGACATGTGGCTAGCAAAGTCAACACATGTTGGAGGTCCTATAGGACATTGCCACGTAGCTCTTAGTTGGATAGTATATATGGAGGTAAGAGTAAAGCCTTCTTCATTCTTATCAACACCTTTCTAGTCTTAGTCTTGTTTCAAGACTTTCTAGTCTTCTTGTTTTTAGCAATAGCCATTCTAGTTAATATTACATCATCTTTTGAGAGACTTTCTAGTTCTCTTCAATGATAGAAGAGTGTATTGAGGATTCTCTTTCTTCGAGATTCATGTCCTTGATAGTTTGACAAAAGTGATAACATATTGGTTCTATCTAATTTTAGAAGTGAGTGGATTATCCTACTTTTATTATTATATTTTAAAGGTTGTAGTCTACCCATCTTTAAGCAAAAAATCTTGTATTCTAACATTGATCTTTTCCTTAAAGAGAGTGGATTATCTCTCTTTATAGGATTTATTTTTAGAGGTTGCAGATTACCCTCCTCTAATTTAACTTTTGAATTTGTTTGAGTTGTCTATAGAAGGAAAGATTACAGATACTTCTCTCAACAAAGTGAGAATAGATTTGTAACTATGACAAATCTTCATGAGCTTGTCAACACTCTAAGAGTAGAAATCTCATGTATTTCCAATATGAATTATGGAAGTACTATACCTATGCCTATGGAAGAAGTTCAGAGTCAACGGTGTCGTATGGTGTGATTGGCTATCTGAGAATACACTTGGTATCTAGCTATAGAGAGTGTAGCTTAAATCTTTTTATTAATCTTGTCTTAGCTTCCAAAACTCCTTTATTTTACATAAAACTCAAAATATAATAAAATTCCTTCAAAACTTATTTTTTCCGCAAAGGATTCTTTTTTCCAGAACTTTAGAAATTCATATGTCTTGATCTAACCATTCAGTTTGTCTCAAATTTATAAGATAGGTAGAATTCACCCTTAACTTTTATCACAAAAAAACCAACTGCAAATTTACTCCCGATCTTCTGGCATCTAAGAAACTCTAGCAGATACTCTAAACCCTAATTCACAATCACCCGAGCACTATTTTCTTAATATCTCAAGAGTCCAATACTCAAATGTCATAAAACTTATACACAAAGTTTACTAACATGAAATCACACATTTCCTGAAATTTTTAGCCAAAATCTTGTCAAATTGCTCAAGATATAGCTCAAGACACAACCACTAGTAAATCGGGTTTTTTTCTACCCTTAGATTGCATGCGCTGACTTCAAAATCCAATAACTCCTTCACTTTAACTTGGAATCCAGTAAGTAGTATATAAAAAGTGTAGCCGCAAAAGTGCTCTCTCCATTCGTGGTTGCCGATCTGCAATTTCTGTCCGTACGCGTGTGTTATGCCAAAAAGAGTGACAGTAGCTCCCAAATCAACACCTTAACTTTGAGTGCTTGTATCTCCTT